GACACCTGCTCTGGTCGACCAGATCCGATCTTGGGCCAGGCCTTGTTTTCACTCATCTCCAGCTCTGTTTCAATGCTGCCATCAACTTGACATGTACCCTTGAACCCCTTACAGCCAGTTTCCACGTCAATGAAATGACCACACCCAGCAAATCTCAATTCCCCACTCCCTGCGTCTTACGATCCTGGCTGTTCCCAGCCTCCTGTGGAAGGAGGACCACTCCATGATGACCCAAGGGGCCCCAGACTGGGTGACCTCCCGGGGCCACCCTGATATTTTGAGGCTCTAATTTTCAATTGCCAAGTGACCATAGCCACAGGGGCAGCCAGGCTGCCAGGAGACTCCTGGAGAGCTCCAGGATGTGTCTGCTGGAACCAAAGTCAGCTCTTCCCTTGTCTGTGCTTCAGCCTCTTGTTCACGATGCAGAATCCATCCCTTTACAGACTTTGTGAGAAATGCACTCACCCAACGTGAGTAGGTCGGAGTTCAGGCAAGAAAGAGACAGCACGCTCAAATTCGGATCATTTAGGGAATGTTGAACAGAGGGAAATTTTACAAAGGTGTGGGCAGGGCGCAAAGTCACCGCAAGGGATCCTGGGCTTCCCTGTAGCTAGCAACAGCCCACCGGAGGTGATGCAGAAGTAGGCGGGACAAATATCCCCCCCCCACCCGTCTCTCTCCTCCCACCCTCTGATGCCCTGACCAGACATAACTGGGAGCTCCCCACTGGCCAAACCCAAAAGACGCCAGAGGGCAAGGGGAGCCCATGCAGGATGACCTCCCAGGGTGAGGGGAGCAAAGAAAAGAGATGCCGCCCACCCAGCATTGGGGGATCTCTTCATAATTTCTACCGGCAACATGGATGCTCAAAGGGAAAGCCCACATCGCCCAGCACCCTGAGCCTCCCTTGAAAAGTTCCCCACTGGACACGTCCACGTTCCTTCGGCCTTTCTCAGCAGTGAGAAGCAGCCCTTCTCTTCTGCCCTTCCTCCGCCTGGTGGTCAGCTTTTAAAACCAGTCACTCCTTCCACCAACTTCAATCCCCAATTGCAAACTTCTCCCTCCTTAATTATGCAGGGCCATTGAGACAGCATCCCGCCCTCTGCTCCAAGGTCCTCACAGCACATCTTTCTGACCGTCCCCTTCCAGACAGGCACCCTGGCAAATCGGCTTCTCCCTTCATTTCACGTTTTTCTCAGTCGCACTGCGCAGCCCTGACTCACTATTAGCCGCAAAGTCCTCTTTGGGGAGCGCTGCAAAAAATAATTCCCCTTAAGTGATCTGGACAAACATGTGTCGGTCCATACAAACCCCACCCCTTCACAGGTGATTCCCTGCAGCTCCAGCCACACGCTCCAGGGCAACACTAAGGAGGCTGCTCTGAGGCTGCTCAGGGCGGCTGCTGAGTGGATCGTTCTTGGAGAAAACCCTCTCTGAGCCAAGCTGGAGGAATGGGGAAAAGCAGCAGATGCTTCGAGCCGCGAGCAGTTTCACATTTGCATCATCGGATCTGGTCTGTTCTCCCGCAAGGGTCTAGATTCCCTCGAGCCCACCAACAGCCACAGCCCCAAAGCCACCTGCCCACGCCCAGCCATCGCTGCCCAGGGCCAGACCACATGGGCTCTGGCTGGTCCTCATTCTCTCTAAGTGACGAGGCTGCAGTCGTCCCAGCTGAAGACGGTGTGTGTCCCTTAGAGGCAACTGGCCTACTGGCCTTCTGTCCTCTTGAGAAATCTCCCCCTTTGAGGCAGGGCAACCATCAGGGACCACGGTTTGCCACAGGAAGGAGGGAATGCTGGGAGCCTAACTTCCCTGCCCCGAACTGAGGCCGGTGTAGACAGGGAGCCTCCAGCCCAGCCCCTGCCTCCCCGGAGGACAACTCCCCACCTGGGTCTCTATCAAGTTCACCTGTGGCATTGCACAGGTGCAAGCTAAGTGTCTGAGGATGAAAGAGGGTGGCTGGGGATGCCCCGTGTCCAGAGTGGGCACAGACTCTGCCCTGCTTGTTGGCTGCTTTGCTGAGTAGATGCCCCCTGGTCTGGGAACGGCACCCGGATCTTCCTAAGGGAACCAGCCTTCCCCACCTCTGGATCCGGGAGGTTTTCACGGGGTAGGTCCCATCCCTTGAACCTGGGCCTTACCAATCAGCTCATTTCATCACTCGCGACATAGGGATTGGCTCTGGGTTGGCCCAAGCCAGGCCGTTGGGCCCAGTGAGTCTTAGTTCTAGAAAACTTCTGGAGCAACTAGGAAAGCCATGTGCTCGTGGCTGCAGGAGTTGCTAAGAGAGTCAGCATAAGCCTGGGATTAAGGTGGGCAGCTTGACAGTAACAGGCCAAAAGGTGGAGAGAGATGGGTCCTGATGGCATTGTTTGAACTTCAGATACACCCAGGCCCCAGGCCAGAACCAGCCTTCCAGTTCCGCATGTCAACAAAGCGCTCCAGCCTGGTGAGCTGGGCTTCCGGTTCTTGCAACCAAGTGTCCAGGCCCACAGGTACACCTGCTTTCTTTCTGCAGTATCTGCATCACTATTTGTGGGTGACGTCAGAAGCAGCTGTCCTCTGCACCTTTGCACACCTGCCTGTTTCCCCTCTGGGTGGCCTGCCTTGGTCGAGAGGCAGCAGGACATGATGGGTAGGAGTCCTAGCTCAGCCACACAGTGGACAGGTGACAGCAAGCTAGGTGGCTCTGGGATGAGAGCATGGAGGCTGGACCCAGGGATGGCGGGGGGGGGGTGGTGGTCTGGTGCTAGGAGAGGAGGCTGGGGATGTATGAACGGGTCTGTGAGATAAGCAGTGAGGCGGGACTGGGCTCTGGGACACGGTCAGCTCACCCGGAGTCATCAGTTACAAGAGGGACAGAGCCAGAATCAGAGGCAGTGACCTCACGGGTCATCAGAACTGCCAGGGTGGCCAGGGAGGCAAAGACGGGAAAGAACTTCTACGGAGGCAGGAGCTTCCTGGAACACACAGCCTCCTCAGGTCTTAAAGGTGCTCTCTTCAATTCTGCATAAGAGAACTAGAAACCAGAAGACCCTGGCTCCCTCCAACCTGCCACATGACTTTAGGCAGGAAGCTCAGCCTCTGTGAACCTCAGTTTTCTTGTCTTTGAAATGGGTCTTAAAATGAATGGGCCTCAAAGGACTATAAAGTGCATCAGACTGACATGGTAGATGGAAAGTGTTTTGCAAATAGGCAGTTGGTAGCTGACGTGATTCAAAAAGCTGTTTTCTGCCTAATAGGAGGGCAGCTTGCTTAAAGGAGCCTTCGGTGTCTTATCCCAAACTAGGGATTCATGGTGGTTAGGAGGAAAGAGGATTTCCAATCCAAATACTCTGAATTTCAGCCACGACTTTGACCTTTACTCTTTAGGAAACCTGGAACAAGACATCTTGGGGTTTTGTGCCTCTGTTTCAACATTTTTCAAAAGAGAAAAGGAATTCAGCTTTCCTTCCAATCTAGAGAGGAGACTGCATGAAGGCCAAAGAACTCAGTAAAACATGGTCACAAAACAATAACAGTAACTGCCCTTTAAGGAGCATTTGCTCTGTGCCGAGCACGTCGCATCTAAGTCCCACACGGATTCTCCCAGAGAGCTGTGACAGGAATAATAGCAATCACCGCAGGCGCCGGGTTGGTAACAGTCACCGTTCCCAGGCGCTTACTATGCACGAGGCCCTGTTCTAAGGGCTTTCCAGGCACTTCCTGCCTCTTGTCCTCCCAACGGCTCTAGGAGGAGTAGGTACTGATAACACCCCATCCTGCAGACAGTTCACAGGGAGCGATGAGCCAGTGGCACAGGGCCGAGGAGAGCACGGCGCAGACCGATGCAAAGGCAGGGCTGGTTCCACAGGTTATCATACGTGTGTTGGAAGCATGTGTGCTACACACGTCACAGATGGCCCAATACACAAGCTTTATTTCAGGTCCTGAGAATGACTGGCAGGTGATGGATCACACAGGGCTCCGTTAGTCCCACACCCAGGACAATGACACCAGCAGCAAGAGGCCACGGGCAGGACCCTTACTTGCATTCCTATAATGAAGCTGTTTCTGTTCTGCTGTGAGGCTGAAGGGGTGACCTGGAACTAACCCAGCTTAAGAACGTTGGGCCCCAAACCTCTACCCCCGAAGAACAGCTCCCTTCCCCTCAGCAGCTGCCCTGGCAGGCTGCCCCGGGCTGCATGCGCATTCCCGGGAGTCCCTTCTCACAACGCACTCGCCCCTTCTCACAACGCACAGAAGCATCATCTAGACCCACACGCTGCACGTGCACCGGGATTGAAAGCCTGGCTCCACACCGCCCAGCCATGTGACTTTGGGCAAGTGATTTAAACGCTCAATCTGCTCACCTCTAAAATGTGCATTTAAAAGAAGTCCCTCCTTCCTAAGCTTGTGGAGAAGATCTAGGGCCTAGCGCTTGTGAAATGGTTGGAACGACACACAGTAGTCCATAACGTCTTACTAAATATTTGCCATCATTATTACCAGTTACAGTCAGTGAAAAAGAGAAACCAGAAGTGGGAGGAGTCGCACGCAGCCCCTCCCAAAGCCAGACCAGATGAATCCCACAGAGCTTTGTAACACGACTGAGTAGGGAAGAGATGCCTGGGGGACCGGTGACATAACCATGTCCAAATGCTGGGCTGGGTCTGCTGCACGGAATTACGAGGCCTGTTTGGCCACGAGGCCCTAAGGTGAGATGCTTGGATTTCTACCAGGTGTCTGGGGCCATTCGAAAGACACGAGTGAGAAGTCGAGCATCTCTCCTTCCGAATCCCTTCCAGGAACCAGGACACCACCAGGGAGGTCAAGGATCAGGCTGCAGGACTGCCTGGCCCCCAGAGAAGGGGCGAAGACGAGCAGCAGCGGGTGACTGACCTACCTGCCCTCACAAGATGACAGCCCCGTACCCCACACCGCCATCCGCCAGGGCAGCCTCCAGCCTCCACCCGGAGGGTTCCCAATGAAGCCCCGGAGATGAAACAGCCTGTACTCACCTTATCACATTGAGACTCACACACCCCAGCTGAGGGAAGCATGACCATTCCCGTTTTACAAATGTGGAAACTGACGCTCTGCAAGGTGATCTGTGACCCCAGGAAGCTACTGAAAAGTCAAGCAGAAATGATCAATTGGTTAACACACTTGATAAACACACAGGATGAAAATGCTTTAAGAATGAGGGAGCAGAAGGCAGTGAAATCTCGGGGGCTGGGTCATGACCTCCCCTGAGAGAACACATGGGCTCCAAAGGCAAGGAGGAAACCAGTGAGGGAGAAAACCCTTCAATAAAGACTTGCAGGGGCGGGGGCGGGGGAGGGCTGTGTGTCCAGACTCAGCAGCTCAGCTGTCATCTCTTCTGCCCTCACTGCACCTGTCCTGCCTGGGCCAAATCAATGCCCTCCAGGTCTCCAAAGCCTCCAGCTCAATTCCATTCAGCCCGAGCAGGTTCTGGGCGGGGCTACAGCAATGAATGGGACTCAGCCCTTTGGTCCTTAAAGGATACAAAATTCAGGGAGAGATGATGTCCTAGGCAGGGCTTCCCCAGAAGCAGCCCCACAGCAAGAACTGCAGTGGGAATGGTTCGGGAGGCAATCTCAGGAAACAGCAGCAGGAGTGTGAGGATGTGGTCCAGACCAGGAAGGAAGCCAGGACCCTGGCATGACTGAGCAGGGTCCGCTGTGGGCACCCGGGGCTCAGTCCCACTGGGAAGCACCAGGGGGCGATAGAGAACACATCTCAGAGAGGTCCCACCAGGGAGCTGGGGGACTTACCCTCCAGCTCTGGCCTGTAGTTGCAGGAGGGCTGCTCCGGGAGCACCACCTCCCCAGCAATGCAGAGCTCAGGAAGGCATCATCAGCAGGCCTGCGAACAAGGAGTGACAAAGGCGTGAGTCTCCCAGAGCGCTTACCGCTAAGTCGTTATCACGTCAGCCTCCCCCACCAAATCAGAATGTAGGCTCTGGAGCCAGACTTCCCATGTCCAAATCCATGCTTCTCCCCTGGATGTGGGACTCTGGTTGAACTTCTCCCGGCCTCAGTCCCTCCTCTGTAAGAGGAGGTCAGGTTAATACCTACCCAGCCAGACTCACATCAGGTGACACACACACGGAGCGGAGAACAGCACCTGACACATGGGTGGCACTCCTGAAAGGTCCACCATCACTCTGAAGACCAGGAGTTCTCAAGGCAAGGTCAATGCCTGATTCACCTTTGCTTTCCCTGCACCTGGCCTTGCTGGTGCCCTGCACAGAGAGGGGGCTCAGTCTACTGAATGAATGAATGAATGAATGAGTGAACGAATGAGTGAACTGATTCAGGAGCTAATGTGTTGCCCTAGATCCCTAACTTCTAGTCTGGCATCTCAAGCTTGGCTTCCTAAACATCACTATTGGTTTCCATGGTGTCTTTTCGGAAAGATAAAGCAGTTTTAACTGGAGCTGATGAATAACAGAAGATACACTACATGCATCTCCTAGGAAACTTTCTGGGGCCACCCCGAGTTCCTTGAGGTGATCTGACAGCCCACAGACTGCTGAGAATGAGAGACCCACATAGGGTTCAGATTTTACCGGATGAGGCGCTCACTTGTGCAAGAGAACCGTGTTGAGGTTTCATGCGTGGGCACCTGCTGCCCCCTGGTGGACAGAGCCAGATACAGCAGGAAGCCGTGGAAACCACAGAGGTTCTTTTACACCCTTAATATGAAAAATTGGGGGGCAGTGCTCTAGTTTGCAAAGCGCTTTCCCTTTCAGTGTCTTATATGAAACTTCAAACAGCCCTGCAAGGTAGGTAGGGCAGGGATTCTCCCCGCTTCACGATAAAGAAACAGACTTACAAACCGCAAGCCCATGGTGAACTAAGAACTGGAATTTCAGGCTCAAAGTTCTGATTCCAAAGCCCAGTAATTTTGACTCTACATGTCAATTTCCTGTTCTGACCATGCATAAGCATCATCTTGGGGCACTGGTTAAAAAGACCGAATCTCAGCCACTAATACCCCAAATATCTAGGGGCGAGGCTTGGACTCAGCATTTTCGACACCTTCCAGGCAACAGTGGTGCATTCCAGTCCCGGTAACTCAAATCAGAGATAAGCGCAAGCGCATGCGCCCTGAGACACCAGCGCCACAGAGGGGATGCAGGATCCAGCTTGACCTGAGAGCAAGAGGAAGAGACCTGGGGAAGGAGAGCGTGAGCTGAGCTGAAGGATGAAGAAAGAGGGAGCCGGCTGGTTAGAGAGGTCACTCGTAGTCACTGCTGTGGTCACCGGTCACCTGGAGAAGCACTGTGGCAAGCACTGAAGCACCGCCCCTCCCCGCCCCAAAGACATTTCCTTCAGGGAAGAGGAGAACTCTCCAGGTACTGAGCACCTAGTGATGCTGAGCTCTGCACGCCCGATCTCTTTTCAACTCACCCTGCCAAACAAGTGATATCATCCCATCTCACAGCAGAGAAAACTGAGGCTCAGGGAGGTTAAAAGAATTTGTCCAGTGTCACACAGCTGATGATGGGCAGGGCTAGAATTTGAACCAGAGTCTAAATGCTCTTTCCACAATTCCTGACTCTTAACCGTAAGCAAAAGAAGAGTGGGATTCTGAGTGTAAGCTGTCAGCGTCCACACTGCTTAATCTAGAAGAGTCTTTCCTGTTGAAAAACATAACTCCACAGTCCTGACTGAGAAACCCCAGTTCTCTCATCATTCTTCACATGCTAAATTAACTAGAAACTGAAGTCGGCCACAGCACAAGATGACAGGTGTTGAAAGCCAGGTATGGGAACTACAGAGAACGCCAGGGACCTGGAGAGAAGGGAGGAAAACCAGATGGGGGAAGAAGTCTCTCCTGTCTTCTAAGCAGTGATCCTCACCATCTGGCAAACACACAAACACACTATGTACACACAACACGCACAGACTCATATATGTACACACATACACCATGAGTGCACACCACGCACATACATATACACACTGTGCATACACACACATAGGTACATGCATGCACATCAGGCATGCACACACCATGCATGTGCAAAATGCACATGTGCATACACAAATACACACACATCGTGCATGCACACACGAAGCACACACATCCCACACACATACACCACGCACATGCCGTGAACATAGACACATATGCATACCGTGCATATACACATTTAGACACTCATGGAGACACATGCTTACATACAAATGCATGCACACACATCACACACATGCCATGCACATACACGCAAACGTATGTACACTCCCAGTACATGCACAAACACACACCATGCACTTACCATGCACACACATACACACAATGCATGCACACAAATACACCATGCACACACACATGCACATATACACCATGCACTTGATATATACACATATGTACACTGTACATACACATGTGCATGTGGTCGGGCACACAAATACATGTGCGCACATCACACACACACTCATGTGCATATGTATGTATACACATGTGCACACTCCCTGTACATGCACACATGTGCACACACATGCACACTGCATGCACATATGTACACAAATACATGTGTGCACATCGCATGCACACAGATACACACAGGTGCACGTGTGCACACACACATATATATGCTTGTAACCACCTCCACAACCTTGGGCCTTAGGTATCCTCATCTTGTCATGACACCTGACTCTCACATTGATTCTCTCATCTTCCTCTGCTTGTAGACAGCGCCTCCTCCCGAGACAGGGACTTCAGATCTCCGTGAAACCCTCACTAAGCCCAGCACGGCCTTCGCCACCTGGCAGAAGCCCAGCGTCTGTCCATGATGGGTAAAGAACAGGGCTCGTGTTCTCCTTTGGCAGGGCAAGAAAGCAAAGGCCAGGCACTTGAGTCTGACGTTCTTCTAAAAAAGTGAATCAGGCCCAGAGCCACAGTGTGTGGCGGCCGGTCCGGGGGTTCGGGTTGCCCTTGTGTTCTGCTCCCCACCACCCAGTGGTCTTCAGCTGGGTCTGGGGCTCTATAGTAATGGCCAACTCAGCCCTAGGATAACAGAAAGAGGCAGAAATAGCTAATTAAGTCCTATCCTGCTGCAGTGAAGGTCATCAAAACAGATAACACTGCAGGGGAAAACACGCAACAGTTAAACAGCCAGAGGTCCCAGTGACCATCTGGGATTTTGCCAGAGCCGTCAGAGGTAAGGGGCCCTGTGGCTGGTGAATCACTGGGGCTCAGTTACAACAATGTCCCTGTGACCCACTTTATTCCAGCTGGATTTTTCTCATTGGTTGGGTTCACATGCCAACAGTGTGTATGGGCCACGGGGCCTCAACTGTAACACGTGCAGGGCTCCCTATTTATCCTAAGCTGACATTCATATATAACCCATTTACATTTTTTAAAAGCAATTAAATGCACAAACTGAACAATAAAGGAGAAATGAGAAGAAAGCCATGTTTTAATCTGTGTATTTCAATTTGTGATGCTCAGGCACAGCAAGCTGGGGGAGCGCCAGGGATGGCGTCAG